AAGCAAGATCGACCTTCGTGAACATCCTCGCCTTGGATAACACCGGTAGCATAGCGTTTAGTGTCGGTACGGTGTACTACTCTCTTCCGAGCGCGGCATAAAGCGATTTCGTGTAGTGCACACGCGTAAATCACCGGATTTCTTAGTGACGATCACCACTTGGCTTACCCGATCTGTCAGCTCATCAACCTTGGTTATGAGGCTCAAAGGAGAAAACGCTGCAGTTCTTCTGATAACCTTTCACCTAAATCAAGTGGCAGTTTCCTAGCTGGCAACGCTACTAGCCTAGCCGATTCATCCAACGAGAAGGGAGCGCATCACTCTAATTTTTCAATAGCCCTATTAAAGACGTTAGAGTAGCAATCAACGATGTATACCGTAACCTGACACGAATGAACGAAACGATCATGAGTAAAGGAGACAGAAGCAAGGTGCTGGATCGAATCAATGTCCATAATTGACATAAGGTCTGTTGTTGTAATTAAGAACACAAGCTGGTGTTCCATTGCGTTCTTATGGTTGACAGCTGTCACGATGACTCTTCCTTACGGCTTTAGCCTCGAGCCGTTGCACATTTTGAGGCAACTCCGCGTTTCTTTGCATTGTATATCGAAACCATCTTTTGGTTCATATTCTGATCGTGGCTCCTAAACCAAGTGGAAATCGAACTGACAGTCCTTGGATCAACAGTGTTGCGGAAATACATTTCTGACCTGCATATGTTTCATGTTATTTATCGTGGGTTCTTGCGTGTGTTTTTGGGTTTCACTGTCTAATGACCTGACGTGGGTCGATCGACAACACCGGGCAAAATAGCTTTTGGGCACACTTCCTGCAGATGAGCCTCAAGTTTGACAGCTCTCCTTTCGGTTTGGATGCCTGCGACCACAAAATTGGCAATTTGGTTCATAGCCATCGGCTGGTTAGGATGGGGATTTGTTGGTCTTGGATAACGCACAAGGCGCCGCTGTTGCCTCTGTACGCAAAGGTTGAAGTTGTTGGGCTGTTCTCGTCTCGCTTAAGCCGTAATCGATACATTGATCTAGAGACAGAGTTCTTTGCCTCAGAACGCGACTGATGATATCATCATTTCATTTGCCGATAACAATGTGGTTAAGCATGAGGAGTCCCGAAGACAATCGCAGAAATTGCAAGTTCGTGCCATTATCTTCAGCTGTCTAAGGTGGGTCTCGAAAGACTCACCCGGTAATCGATGGCGACTAAACTACAGATATCTCTGGTACGTCTTGTTTGGTCGGCCTTCACAATACTCGCCATATTTCCTGATTAACTCTGACAGATCCGATTCCTGTTCATCCGTATCACCGAGGTTCAGCGTCTTAAGCACGCACCTCGCCTCGACGCCGATGGCATGTCTGGACATAGCCAGTTGGTATGTCATCGGGTGGGTGCCCAACTGTGTCTGCGCCACGAAATCCATCCACTTCGATTACCACAGACACCATTTATATGGTAGCAAGCTTTCCCTCGTTTGCAGAGCGGTCGGCGGTAGAATCGATAGCTGTTCAGCAACAGCGAGTTGAGTCGAGCGTGTCCGCTTCTTCTCCTTCGTCATGTCGAATAGCGCCCTCCGAGAGTCAAGGTCTGGACAATGATTAGAGTCTGTTATTGAAGAAGCGAGGCATCGTTTATACTGTACACAAATGGGGAATGGTTATCTGCCGACATCAGGCGATGCGACTTTTGTGTTATTTTGTTTTCATTGCCCCCAAGCATGACTTTCTCTGTCGGCTTCTGCTCCGTCTTCGTTTATTCGCCTTGAGCCACGGCTGGGTACGGCAGCTCCGCTTTATATGTCCTGTCTGTCGTTCCTACCACGTCTGTGTGTGGGTGTCCTGGTTAAACAGGTCCGGCAATGAGCCGACCGCGCTTCTTTACTCTGGCTTGTTGATGCGTGCACCTGATTGGCCAACTTGCTATATGCTTCTAGCTCATTTCGCTCAAGCAGCTATCCGATAGCGTACTCACCTGACTCAGTTGCAATTATAGCCCATGATTGGTCCGCATGGGTACGGCCGGCTCTCCCGCTTTGCTCATGCGGCCAGCTATTACCACTATTAGCACTAGCCGTTACCACATTCCGCTTGTTGTATTCTGACAACTATTGCGGAGATCTGCCGTCCTTTTCTTACGACAATTACCAATATGTGTTTGGGTCCATCGAGTAGGCAAAGGTGTGAATGGTTTTGTAAATTAGTATCTTTCTTCAAAAGCAAGAGCGGTTATTAATAGAAGATCTGGGTGTGTGGTACCTGAGAAAGTAAGGGTATTTAAGGGAGTAGCTTTCTGTCCACTAACCGTCCTAATCCCGATGTGACCTCAAAGGTGTTATTTGCATGAATTGCATGTCAGCGTAGTAATAAAACATCTACGTCCGCCAATCTGCAGGCCGTTTAGGGGCACCGAAACCGAAGTTAGCCGGAGTAAAAATGGGATATATAGTCCAAAGATACGGAACACAACTAACTGGAATTCAAACCACTAAATTCGCTCGTTCTTATCTATGTGCACAGGGATCCGCCTAATGTGTAAGCTTGCAGTAAAATCATTCAGCATGTAATCATTAGGGCCGCAATTTCAATATTGCTGCTGACGGTTTTACAAACACTACATAATTTACCACACAAAGCTTCTCGTTGCGCCAACTACCTGGGCAATTTAATGCGCACGCGTGGACGCTTAAGGCGAATGACATTCAGCTGATTCCCCGGTTGCGTAAATAAAAGCTATTTACAGTTGAGTTCAAATATGACGTAATCCGCCGTTGCTTAGGTAAGCATAATTGCAGGCAGATCGGCTGGCTCGTTAAGAGCTTCGAAATTGCGCGTAGACAAACTTTGCCTACGCGCCCACAAATTGTGGTACTGATTCGTTAAAAGACGAATCCTGTCGCCAACTGAACGAGCACCTACATCATATAAAATGTATGGATACTTGTGCTGGTTGAAGATATGAACGCCCAAGTTGGATAAATGTCCACCGATGAGCTGCATCTGGGCGTTCAACATAGTGTAGGCTCCTGTAATGATAACGAAGAGCGGTTGTTACACCTGTGTGAAGATGCTCGTCGCTTTCTCGCGAGCACTAACTCAGGACACAGCACCCGCAAACGGGTGACAAGGCGCTCACCTGCCTCAAAACAGCCATGGACGCAAATCGACCATGTCGCAATCAATTACCTCTTGAGAAGCTGTATCCAAAACTCTCGCCGGATTTGGAGCACGAGGGTGGACTCTGACCACGCACTCGTATGTGCCGATCTTACTGTTCACTTCGGTGGCCGCATGCGGAGTCGCTGTGAGCTGGCGAAACCAGATGTCCTGAGTGCGTGTTAAAATATGCTGGCATCCGGGCTGATTTAGCGCTCCCTGAACACAGTAGAGAGCCAATTGTCACATATCCACAATACCATATTAGCAGCAGGCATGACTTCATGTAGTAAAGCCCAATGCGAACTTGGACACTGAGTATCTACATAGTCTCTGGAACTTATGGATGCTCGCCAACACATTCCGGCTGGGAGCGAACACAACGAAACTCACAAAGACCTCAGGGTAAAACTCCATGCTAGCATATAAAGAGACCGCAAAGCGTGGTGATCTTATCGTGCCTCAGAGATGAAGACGGCCGGTGCTCTTGGTACCCATCCAAAATTATTCCATTTGATACGTGAAACAGTGGAAAGAGTCCTGACGTTAGTGAGATCCTACGTGAGGAGGTTGGAAGACCGATCCTCAGTTTGTCAAAAGGATTGGAGCATTTGACCGAACACCATGAAATGCACCTTACTCAAGTAGCGTTACCAGCTTCCCCTTCGGCCATTGATCGTTCTTCTCCCTGGACCGTTCTCTTGGACCCACCTACACGCGCAGAAGTTGAACGTCAGATCCGACTGTTGAAGGTGCACAAGGCCAAAGGAGCTGATAGAATCCCTCCAGTTCTCTTCAAATTCGTGGGACTTACTTTTGTAGCGGATCAGCACAACATATTTGCGAGGTCGCGGGAGCAGGAAATTGTTCCAGCAGTCTGGGGCCTCTCCATAATAGCCCGTTTTAAAAGAGGGTTCACCTCCGGAATGCAGCAATCATAGAGGGATCAGTCGGATCTCATTTGTGTCTAGGGTACGCGCCTATGTCATTCTTCATAGACTTGCTGACACACGTGAAAGCCAGATTCGCAAGGAGCAAGCCGGGTTTTGTCGAAGTCGCGGCTTTATTTACCTCGTCTTCACATTACGTCAATTGTTGGAGCACCGCCCTATTTATCGGCGAGGTACCGGAGCCGTGTACCTTGAGATATATAGATTAGGCATTTTCGATAATCACTGCCTTTGCAACTTAGCTCATGGCTGGTGGGAGCACCGTGTGAGCAATGAGCGTGTATGACGTCGCGTATTTGGTGAAGGAAAAGCGAGTGAACCGCTCAGGACCGTTATTTCATACGCCAGGCGCCAATGGCTGTGCCACGTGTTGCGCTTGCGAGCCCACCGACTACCGCAACGTGCGTTGTTTGCGCGCCTCGAGTGTGAATGGAAGAAGATGAGGGGAGGCCAAGCGATGAGTTGGTCAAGAGGAATGAAGTCCCTCACTATGAATTTGGTGTCGGTTTGTGTGTCCCAACTAGCGGACTGGGGTCCCAAAGACGATGAACACGTTTTGTTGGATACACTAGTTGACACGGTAAGGAGGCAACCTCAGTGGCGTTTGTGTTGTGAGGTGCTTTGTCCCTCCGCATCCCGCTTATCTTCTCCCTCCAACCACGATCGCTCTCTGGATATATATTATGTTACAAAGTAGCGTGCTGTCTGTTACCTTCATGCTATAATGTTCAATAGCGCTTTTTCGTATGTCTTATTTTTATGTATTATAACCTAATAGTTGGTGTGTTTATCCTCTTCAGCTAATGTGTAATGATGCTGATGCAGATGATATAGTCAGGAAATTTTCACTCGGTGCCTCTGAGTCATTTTTTCAACATACCTGTATTTCCTCATCCGTCACGTCCTCACCGAGAATTTGGGCTGCCCTCTTCAGCTTATCGAATGTAATACATCCAGATCCTTCAGCATCAAACAAGCGGAACGCTTTTGACAATTCCTCCTCTGAATCCCTTTCCATCATCGCTTTTGTCATGATTTCCAAAAAGCCGGTAAAATCCAGAGCACCTATAGAAAGAACAATATTGACGAGCAGTGCACGAAGTTATACAGATGCAAGGAATAAGTTTTATCCACACTAACATGGTCATCAGCATATTATTCAAACGGAATTCATTAGAAAAAATTGCATCCAGATATTCATAGGCAGTGCTTATGTCATGAGAGCTCTTTCCTGATCATGTGTTTTCACTCTGTTGACTAAAACGCGTGATGAATAAGTCCGGGAAGAGTGAGTCCACTGTGACTATGTGGCATTAAACCACATCGCGCGGTGCACAGTGTTAAAAAAAGTTGCGTTGGTGGGTGTCAAAGATCAACCTAGCTTTCATCTTCACAATCTTGCTGTAACCTATCAGCGGTAGACATTCAGTTATTGGGGACCACGGCCTAAGATAGACATCACACATATTAAACACTAGTGCCCTAGTGGCTAGACGTGACCGTTTTATTAATTGGTCGGTTGCGGTAAAATGGCTAAAGAGCTAGAGCTTTACCGTCATTTGGGAAGCACACCAGCGGTAGTTATGGTTTGCCTATGATATCTCACGAACTACTTACCTGCCAGCATTTATTTTGTCATGATACTGGCAAATCGAGTACACCCGCTCACAGTACTGTATCGAAAGCACAAAGGACGGAGCGTAACTTCCTTATTTCTTGTATGGCCCCCACTGGTTGAGTATGATGGCCAAGTGACGGTGTGCAGCAGTATATCCCATATGTGGTGTAGACCACGGTGGGTATTCGGTCACTGAGTAGAATATTCTACTGTGATGTGTAGCAAAGGTCCAGCTTAGAGTTTTTAAAACTGGCGGTCAGTATAATTGAAAATTCACGCCACCTGGGCACATAAAACTGCATTCCTGACTCCAGTACGGCCACTTAGTGACGTAACCTACGCGGCGTGAAATTCAACAGACAAAAATGAGCTCAGAACGACTAATGCTTCAAAATGTTTCCTACGTTCACTCAGTAGTCATTGCGCCAAGCTTTCCCCATGGTGACACGGTGGAGTGGCCGTGAAGGTATTGGATGCTTCCCAATGGCCTCGGGTTCGATGCCCGACACCTCTCCTTGATGAGAGTAAATAGGTTGGAAACCGGTAGTATAGTGTAGTGCTTCCGGGCGAGCAACATGCAATTTCCATCTGCTTAGGCTACGGTTCCAGTGATCACACTGACCAATGTTCACTTTATTACGAATCACGACCCAAATTGTGATTGCGTGTCGCAAACTAATCATGCAACGTGTACTCCGAAAGGGTCCTGCAATCAGTCATTAACCGGAGTGCCAAGCGTTGCCCATCGTGACGCGATAGCCAAATGGATGGAGATTTCGGCTACTATTCTAATGATCGTGGGTTCGAAGCTTGCTTTCTCCACCTGAGGTGATTAAATGAGGACGAAACGCGTCGTGGTTGTGCAGTGTTTTCTGGATGGCAGTTAGGGTCTCAGTGATCCAATCGAATAAGGTTCCTTACAAGGAGAATCGCGCTTCACGTGGAGATTACGCATCGCAATCCGTTAACGCAACAAATACTTTAAAATGACTTATCTATAGTCATTAAGCGTTATCACAAGCGTTATTCGCCGTAACTCGTTGTCTCAGGGGTGGAGGCCTCGGTTGACAACTAAAAGGTCCCGGATTCGACGCCTAATAGTTCCACCTGATGCGGTCAAATGAATTCAAAACCGGTTGCTGGGCGCATCGCTGTAAGCGAGTGACTCCAGGCACCTGAAAAATTGATGTGGTAACCTAAGCTGCGTGAAAGTTGGGTGTTCTCCGCTGTCGGACTTCTACCATATGCATTGAATAGTTGGACGGATGTTGTTAACTCCTGTTATTTACAGTACGCAAATGATCAGCTTCCTGATTGCGATTGCTTAGTTTTGAGATTTATGAAAGCAGAAGTAGCAACAAAGCTATTGGTTTTGAAATTAATTTTAAAGATAATAGCGATCGAATTCACGTGAACGAAACAGGAGAAAATGTCAGCCTTACTTCAAGACGCAATCACTTGTGACTCATCAAAAGAAGCATAACCAATGCAGTTAAACGAGGCTCAGTTTGAATGTAGCATGGCGTTGAAAATACATGAACCAGAACGAAATTATTAATATAAATGTTTATTTATCAGATGCCTAGTATCACTGACATTACGCAACACATAGTGGTGGTTATGGGATTTGCTATCTGGGCCTCATTGCAATGGTTTCTTAGATAGCTATTAAATTGGTGTATTCGGTGGAAATCTTTGGCGTGTGGTGCAAATGACAAGGAATTCCGCTACAGTAGCATTATCACAGCATGCTATAGATCTCAGTTTACTCGAATAGCCTTTAACTTTCCACCGGAAGTCTGGAAGTCAATTTAGGTGTGGGCATTAGCAGTAAGCAGGTACGCAGTAGGTACGCGTCGCTACCGTGCAATCACCACAGTTCGCACGTGGGCTAAGGATATTGTGTGCGTCGCTCGGTCTCCACGCATGCTCGAACCCGCGACCTCAGATTACAAGGCAGACTTGTGATCCCTAGGGCTAAGGGTGGGCCAATGTAAGGGTGCCATCCGTTCACGTGAACAGCTTCTCAGAGCTACACGAAATCCCACAAATGCATGTTCTTATCAAAAATAAACATATATTACGCCATTAATAATCACAGCTGCACAAACTCAATATTGTACACTCAACGCGTTTGGTATGAATTCTCTTCTATCTGAGTGTGGAACTGCTCTTGCTTCACAGCATGCAGCTCCGCACACAGCAGTCATATCACATGCCTACTAAGACAAATGTTAAATGCTTTACTTGAGGTGAATCATCACCATCATCCTCATTATGGTCATCATCCTCAGCATCATCCTCATCCTCATCATCATCATCATCACCATCACCATCATCATCATCATCATCATCCTCAGTATCAGCGGCTGCAGCAGCAACAACAACAACTACAACAGCAGCAGCAGCAGCACCGGCAGCAATACACGTTAGTTGAGGGTGAGAAACACATCACAGATACTCTGCCGCACTAAAAAAGGTAAGATACAACAATGCTACACTACGAGCTTCAAAGCTAGATATTATATTATGTAATCCGTGTGAGATCGGAATTGGAGGAGAATCTAAAAGGGAGGGAATGGACAAAGAAACTCATAACACAAACGCCATTGGAGCCGACTCTTCCCCCTATTAGCAAGTGCATCCAACCAAACGTGTTCATCGTACTTAGGCCCCCAGCCAGGCAGTTGGGGAGCACCAAACGAAGCCAATTCCGAAGTGAGGCTTTTCATTCCTCTGGTCCAAGTCATTGCTTGGCCTCCTCCCCTGCTCTTCCAACCGCACCCGCGGCGCGCAAACAATGCACGTCGCGGGAGTCGGTGTGCTGGCATGCGCAACACGTGGCCCAGCCATCGGAGGCTGGTATGTGATATGATAGAGCTCAGCAGCTCACCAAATACGCGACGCCAAACATGCCCGTTGCTCTTGCGGTGTTCCCACCAGACATGAGCTAAGCTGCGAAGGGAGCAATGGTCGAACGTGACTAGCCTCTTTATGTCTCTCCACCTGATGGACTAGGTTTCACAACCGCATAAGAGGGTTGTACGGACGACTGCAGGTGCCTATGAATAGGGTTCAATTTCTGACTCATTCACCTAATTAATTTGCACAGTACTTCACAACGACCCTCAATATCAATGATTATCCGTTGTGCCAAGCGCTGCCCGTCGTAACCCGGTGGCTTAGGGTTAGCGGTCAGAATTAACACCCCAATGGTCCCAGGTTCAATGCCTGCGGATTCCTTCTGATAAGATGTAATAGCATCGAAATGCGTCATGGGAATACAGTGTTTCCGGGCGAGCAGCCCTCAATTGCAATCTGTTTCAGTCTGAAAGCTTGATTGCATTTCAATAGGGTAGCGCATGGGCACGTGATCCACAAGACTCAACCTGTCTAAAATCGTCATACAAACTTTCCTTGGATCATAGAGAGCTCAAATTTAGTATATAAAAGCAAAAGTATAAGTGCGACAACTCATATGTTGCATGAGGGTAGCCGCTCCAAGTAGAGTCTGCTTTCAACTAGCTGCTTACTGCAGCATTTGCTGGGTCATGAAATGTACAGACATGGAACCAATTACATCGGTACCAGGTTTCAGCACCTTTGTAGTTTCTTAATTTATTGATTAAGGTCGCTGAAGAGTATCGAGGAGCCTTCGAGTGTGTTTTATTTGTCTGAGCTGTTGCCACGAAGCCGCCGGCATTGCTGAAGTCGAAATAAGGGATAAATTAGTTGACCTATGCAATCAGCGGACCATCCGTAGCTGATATTCTCCTTGAGGATCAACTGGAAGGAGCAAAAGAACGATGGTCGCCGAAACTCTTTTCAGACAATATCCTGCATACAGGGGACACATTGTTTCAAGCCAATGCCAAATCCTTCCATTGTTCTATTTACATTCGCCAATAATAGAAAATGCTCAATAGTACAGTGTGCGCCAAGTGATGACGAGTGCAGATTGCTAACTGAGGTAGTTGGGCGCCAAAGGTTTTCGACATTTTCATTACCTTTTTTAGTTGGATATATGAGTTATATTTCTAGTTCCACTTTTACCCGGACTGGAAACTCACTTATCGCCTGTTAAAATATAATCACATGAGTAGTTGCATTGATGAGCCTTAGCGTCCATCCTTCCATATTGCTTCTTCCCCGTTGTCCAGCTAGATGAAAGACGTTTGTGTGTCAGTGAACCGTGGGCAAATTAATAAGCTAGATAAGTGATGCTCCTTCACCAATCCATCTGCAAGGTATCTCCGGTCGAGGATTCTCAGGGTTTCCATGTCTGATGCGTACGGAGGTCGTAAGAGACCTGGGGTCTGCGACGCAATATCCACTTCTCGTGGCCAGTTGAAGGAACCTAGCACAACCACGTAGCAAGAGACCGAGCTGGATGTTAGATGTGCCTGGTTAATCAGGTATAGCTATCGGGATATCGAGTATGGATTAA